AGCCCTCGCGAGCGTCGTCTCGCAATTCAGGCATACGGGGAAGCCTGAGCAGTCCGAAACTCTTCGCCACGCCAATGAGGTCAAGGTCCTTCACCCTAAAAATATAGGATGCTTCATGTTTGGAGTAGGCTCTGACAAATGACACGAATGCTTTCGCGGCCTCGATAGGGATCGCTCAGAACGATGAACTTTGATTGATACCTTGAGTGCTCACCTGATCGTGTATGGCTCGATCCGTTAAAATTGTTTTCCGTATGCGCCCGAGGAAGACCGAGACCTCTGCGTCATCAGGACGCTCAGACTCTTCGCCATCAACGTCTTCTTTGGTAGACGGCACGAGACTAATAACTCGACCTTCCGATGTACTAAAACATGGCCGCTCAGAGATCGGTATCTTTCTGAGGGCCAGAAAGTCTACAGAGAAATAAGTTACTTATCACGACAATGGTGCGAATCAGCTACTCACCGACATAAGAGGTTTCCCGTTCTAGGAGTAACACCCATGCTCTACCACTTCGGCCAGCTCTCGCTGTACGCCCGCAACGATGAGAGAAAGCTTTGGGGTCTGAGGGGGGGTCGAACTGTATGACAACATCTACCGAGGGGAGATCGAGTCCTCGGGCCGCGACATCGGTGGCAAGGAGGACAGAAGGAGAGGCAGATGTCGCCGGGGCGTCCGAAAATGCCGCCAGAGTCCGCGTTCTTGCAGATGGAGGGAGATGGCCATGTAGCGAAAATAGGGCTGTCTCTGAGGGAAGAAGGTCCTGCATGATCTGGATTGGGCGAATTGATCAGGGGATATACCAAATACGAAAAGTAGAGACACATACGCGGTAGAAATAGTCCACGCAAGCACCCGTGGCAAAATAGACAATAAATCGAGATGACTGGTGTTCTGTGACCTCGGAAGATATTATTCTCGTTAACTGGACCAGTTTTTCTGATGCGCGGCAGACGATGTAGTGTATTTTCAAGCTGGTTCACCGGCGATTAACGAGGGCGTCGGAATGACGAGCTACACTCACTTGGCAGGTATCCGTCTCTCCTCGATCGTCTCTCGAATCAACGCGCCTGAAGCCCCAGTTCTCAGCTTCTTCGCCTGCACTTTGACCACAATACGAGCAGGATTCCGTAAGCCCACCCGCACAAGCTCGGAAATCGCGTCGGCATCCGTCATAGTGGCGCTAAATAGTCCGGTACGCCGTTGCTTCGGCAAATGCGTGATAATGCGCGTCACCGCGTCTTGAAACCCCAAGTCGAGCAGTCTATGGAGGGTCGCGAAGTCAGAGGTAGGAAAGAGCCAGCGCCAAGGCCACGCACCTGTCCGCCTCATCTAGCACCAGAACCTCCAGTTCCTTTACGTTGACAACTGTTTTGCCTTTTCCTAGCAGGAATTCCTCGACGCGGCCCGGGGTGCCAATTACAATATCAGCACCGGAGGAGGTGAACCGTTGAACGTCCTGAGCGGGAGATGATTTGCTGGAGGAAATGAGCAGCAACGGGGCAGGATATTCCGGATCTGGCGGGTCCAAAAGCGAGTCGACAGGCGGAAGCCGGGGCTGCGCGGACAGGAACAGCGAGAAAATGGAGTGTATCTGGGTAGCCAGCTCTCTGTAACGAGCTCAGTCAAAACTCTCTTGAGGCGAGAAGTCAGACGCACCTCGTAGGGCTGATAATCAAGGCTCCGAGCTCGTTTTTGCGTAGTTTTCGTTCTCGGCGTATGAGGCGCTCCAGTATAGGAATGACGAAAGCGAGGGTCTTCCCGGAGCCCGTAACTGCCTCCACGACCACGTCCTTATGCTGCATGAAGAGCGGGATCGTGGATGCTTGTACCGGGGTCATTTGGGTGTGCCCCATGGATTGAATAACATCCAATCTATGAAGGGGTCAGGAAGGCTTCGAGGCACAGAAAACGCGGAAAATTCACATCCATGGCGTGAGGGAGGTTGGCAGAGCCGACCAAGACCCCCCGAACGCGTTCGCGGTAGGAGCCATAATTTTCAAGCGGGATCAAAGCAGGATGTTTGAATCCCGGGTCGGCGGCGTGAGAACCAAACAACCTCCTCCGTCCAAAAGTAGTAATTCTAAACAAAATTTTTGTGGAAAAGCATATTTTCTTTTTCAGGAGAATAATAGCAAAAAAAATAAGGGTTTTTGGAAAATTACTAGTGATTCAAAAAGGAGTTACTGGCCAAAATAAAATCTGGCGCAGGAGTGAGAGAAAAGCATGCTCTAATAGTTGCTGGCCATCTTCGGTCTAAAAAGCAATCAACAACATTACACACTCCTCCTTCTTTTGTCTTCTTTGGAAAGTTTGACCTTGTGCAATTGTAAATCACAGCAAGTTCTCTTTCTTCTTGGAGATCTGCCATTGATCTGCTTTCAATACACAGTGGTCTGTCCGACGTCCTGACTTGTATACGGGTCAGAACTAGGTTGGGAGTTCTATCTGGCGGACTTACAATAAGGTCATTATGCGTGTCGGGGAACTGGCATTTCATTCTTCCAGGGACGACAGTGGGTTCGGGACAGTTCCATGTCTTACGGAAGCGGGGAGGGACGATCCCCTCGCAGGGCCAAACATTGTCCTTATACCCATCGAAGCTGTGTTCGTCTAGACCCTTGATAAGGAGAACGAGCGCGTCTTTGGCATGTTCTAAGAGGGGTGTGTCCGCAGTAACCAGTGTGTCAGTAGCTGCGAGAGTCTGAGCGACAATGTAAAGCCATTGAATGAGGTGGTTATCGTCGCGAGCGGGCTGTGGGGCCATGGATAACGTGGATGGGAAATGTGTTGGGGACCTGGATAAAAAAATCTGTCGGCTTGCCGCATTATATGAACAGGATCGACAACGGCATATGTACCTGAACATTCGAAGCCGGCTTCGAAGAGCCTGCGCTTCTTTCTCGGCTGCGTGCCATTAAAGTTTCTTTGGCATTCGAAGCTTCGATCGGGCTTCCTTTCTATATATTTAGAACGAACAAAGGGCAGGCCCTGTTGTTGCGACACTGACTCGCAGAATTTTGTAAGTGGCGCGTATAACAAATAGGTACTGGACGGACGCCACCAGCGTCTTCATTTCTAGCACCCGTTTCCGTCAGACAACACCCTCGGAGTCCTCGAAGAGCTTTGGATTAGGCCCCACCGTTTCGGAATTGAAATCCACTCCAGTGTTTTCGATCCGCCGTGAAATCCTCCCACAGCTTCGTAATATCAGCAAGCGAACAACAGCCAGATCTGAAGACCCGCACCTCGTTGATGAATCCCCCATTAAGAGCCTTAAGAACAGCATCTTGGTCATCAACAAGGGCGGTGTCTTGGTCACACAGACTCTCGATCTCATCTTTGACACGAGTGGAGATGTTGTACAAGTAGTGCCGTGCCTGGTGGCTGTATTATGTACATTAGCATAGATCTTCCTAAAAGCGGAACAACGAACTAGGCAACTGCACGATGGGAACACCGTGCCCCGACGACGAGCCTGAAACCAGGGGGGTACAGGAGGTTCGAGGCCTCCGCGCTGTTCGGGAAGTCATCTGTCGTTTCCTTGTTGTAGTCAGTACTTCGTTCCTGTATGTCCTGTGCACATTTGGTTAGCCCTGCGAATGCGCGCGCGGAGCAGACCCGCCTGGAAGGTGTCACCGTCGCGGTCGTAAAAACCTTTACGCGTGGATAGCGTACATGAGCCGGCAGCACTGCACTCGTTGGGTCCGCGGGTCCAGCATGCCTGGCAGTCGAGGCGTTCGCAAGAGACGGGGCCAATGAGGACAGGACGCCGTTGCAACGTAGCTGTGAACGGCCCAGACCAGGTGGAAAGCAACATCGAATTCCCAAAACCATCCAGATGTTTTCGCAAGGCTGTTAGCGCCGTTTGGTACGACAGTCCTGAATAAAGATAAGTCAGACGACGACCAAATGACAATGTACCCACTGTCGTCCTCTGTCGTTGTGGGCATAGAGAGAAAACTAGGTTCATAACGCAGCTTGACGATATATTTGACGAATACAGCGAGCTGTTCCTCGATGGTGCGGCGCGCGTAGCGCTCTGGGCCGAGGGCCGCCTCAACTTCTAGAACCGCGTCGGCAGTCTGTTCCGCATCGTCGATCAAGCTCTCGTCTGGCTCGTCCAAATCAACTTCGGTGCCTGTATCCGAGGCACCGGTTTCCGTGTTGTCTGTCTCAGAATCCTCCTGCGAGTCGCCCCCCGAGGGCACCTCTGCCGCTTCCGCGACATTCTTCCGAGCAGACGTTGGCGACGGCTCGGTATTCCGTGCTCTCACGAGCTTTCGCAAGGCCGCAGACGTGCGGTCCTTCCGAGTCGGCTTTGAGGGGCTGGGCGGCGGTGACACTGTGGACGCTATGAGAAGGCTATCCGGCGCAACGAGACCGACGTACACTCAAGATCATTGACATCTGCTGAGTCTGCGTCCGAGTCGATATTATCCCCCGCTGGCCCGTCGATGTCCTCAGAGTTCGACCTGCGAAATATCCTTCGTTGCTGAGGCGTCTCTGGGGCCTCAGATGTTTCAGCCTCAAAATCAGCTTGGGGCGCCTTCAACCGCCGCCTGCGAGGCGAAACCACTTGCGACTCATCAGTCTCGTCCTCAGATTCCTGGGGCTCCTGCTTCACGGCTGTGGGCGCGAGCAACGAGGCATGGTCTCGCTCCTCAGATTTGGGCCGCTTGATACTCTGTGGTGGGTTGCGGCGCCGGGTAGTGAGGACAACCTCGACCTTGAGGTAGCTTCTTTGTGGATTCCGACTCGGAGTCAGCACAACCGCCGAGTCGTCAGCGTCCGGCTCCGTCTTCACGCGGCGGCGTGCGCGTGTGTTCATAGAAGAGCCTGCTTCTGCATCCCACTTGCGCTTGGGGGCCATGGAGATCCCTCAGAGAATCTATCCCGTGTGGGTCAGCGAGGAGTTCTTCCGCCAAATCGGGCGATCGTCACTCACGGTTCAGTCTCTTCCACCTCCGATACTCGTTCGACAAGACTGGCTTGCGGCTCCCTCTTAGCTCAGTTGGTAGAGTGCGTCACTAGTATCAAACCGTTCTGTTCTTCTATGACGAGGTCAGTCGTTCAAATCGGCTAGCGGGAATTTGTTTTGCTTTTGGGGGATTTCTGGAATCCCCCTGTTATTCCGAGTAACCCGGCTCGGGTTTCTCCGGCCAACGCAGCCTACACTACAGACTTGCAGCTTCTTCCTTTTTTCCTCGGCCCACACTTACTTTGTCTTCAACGCAACGGTCACGAATCAGAAGACTTTTTTTTAAAAAAAAATGGTTCATCCCTTTGGCTGGAGTCTCCTGGACCTTGCTTCGACGCGTCTTTAGCGCACCTTTCGCTTCCAGAAGACATAGACACGGTAGAAACGGCGCTTAAGCGCGTCTATAAACCATCCCGCGCCTCCTATCCTCATGTTGCGCACCTCCGTTCATCTCATTGGCTGCTCTCCTGGACATTGCTTTGACGCGTCTTTAAGACTCTTTTGCGCCTCTTTCGCTTCCAGAATACACGGACACGTAGCAACAACACTTAAGCGCGTCCACCAACCATCCCACCCGCCTTATGGTCCTCTGGTGCACCTCTTTCGTGGCATATAGGTCCCTCTTAGCTCAGTTGGTAGAGCGCGTCACTAGTATAGGGTATGAACATTGTCATGACGAGGTCAGTCGTTCAAATCGGCTAGCGGGAATATCTCTTTTGTTCCTGCGCCCCATATGTTTTTGACATTTGCGCTTCGTCCATGCGGACGGTGGAAATTCCTTACTTGTACGATCCCCTTCGCCTCCCAATGCTAACGTTCACGGACCACACGAGCATTCCTATGCAAGAACGTATCCTCTCTCTTTTTTTGTGCACCAAACCGGCCAAGCCGAGCATGTCTGTATGTCTGTCTGTATGTATATACACGAACAAAAAAAACAGTATGTAAAAGTAAAGAGTAAAAAAAGAATCCTAGCGTATAGTGTACATACATCGAGACCAAAGCGCGTACATAAGACCCATAAGTAAAAAAAAAACCAAAAGAAACAAGAACTAGAGGATGAGAATGGGAGGAGGGCGAGGGCGGGAACGGGGGGGGGGGATAAGAAGGAGAACGGGGAGACAAGAAGGGGAATAGGGAATAGGGAATAAAGTGCGGTGTAGCGTAGCGTATCTGTATGTGTGTATATGTGCGGGGGCTGGAGACAAAAAAAAGGCGTATCAGCGCACGGCTCATTAAACGAAGAGGGAGAGAGAAAGAGACTCACACAAACTAGAGCGGTCTACACTACTTCTTCTTGGTTGGGTTCGTTGGGTGGTTCATTGAGTGACGTGGGGTGCTTGGTTGGGTTCAGACGGACGTGGATATGGGCGTGGACGGAGACGTGGAGTGGACGTGGACGCGGGCATGGATATGGACGTGAGGCGTGAGGCAAGGCGTGGTATGTATGTATGGTATCGGTATCGTGCGGACGAACGGCGGGCTTTTAGTGTACGGTGTGCGGTGTGTGTTTTTTTTTTTGGGCGGGAGGCGCGGACCTGTCTTGTGGGACGGAGCAGCGAGCAGACGAGGCGGGCGAGATAAGTTAGGGGTAGGCCTGGGGCACGGGCGGCGCGAAGATGAGGCGGGCCACATAAGTTAGGCGCGGCGGAGTCAAGTCGTGGATCGGCGTGGGCGCCGACCCGGGGCGTGGGGCGTAGAGGAGGGGTGTGCGTGCGTGCGCCGGGTGGTAGGCGGGGTAACAGCAGCGCTCCGCCACCCTACTCCTTATGCCGGCTGATCTTCTCCACCCCCGCCCCGAGCGCCGTAACCCGTCTCCGCTCCTGCTCCTCCTCGTCTTCATCATCATCGTCGTCGTCGTCGTCGTCCTCTTCATCCTCTTCGTCCCCGCCTTTCGCCGCGCCGCCCTCCGCCGCCGCCCGCCCCCGCTCCCTATGCCCGTCCTCGTCGTCCGACTCCTCGTCATCCGACGTCGAGCCCGACGACGACGATGAAGACGACGACGACGACGGCGCGCCCACCTTCGCCTCGACCCCCGCCCCCGCCTTCGCCTCCGCGCCCGCCGCGTGCGCCTGCGCGAGCGCGTTCGAGCTGCTCCGGTGGTGCCCGTGGTGGTGCCCGCGGAAGTGCGCGGGCAGCGTCACCGCGCGCAGGACGTGCTCCTCCTCCCCATGCGCCGAGGGTGACGCGGCGGGGATCGCGGGCGAGCCGAGCGGGGAGACCGCCGGGGACGCCCACGGGGACAGCGCCGGGGACGCAGAGGCAGAGGCAGAGGGCAGCCCGGGCGTCCCGAGCGGGCTCGCCGCCCCCGGCCCCGCCACCGAGTCCGCCGTGGGCGTGCTCGCGTCGCTCGCCTCGTCCGCCGCCCCGCCCCCACCGCCGCCCTTGTCCTCCCCGCCCCCGCCCCCGCCTGCATCCTCCCCACCTACAGCGCCGACATTCTCCTTCTCCTCCTCCGCCTTCTCCCTTGCCTCCCTTTCCGCCTTCTCTCTTGCCTCCCGCTCCCTCGCCTCCCTTCTTCTCCGGACCCACCCCATCCCCGTCCCGTCGTCCTCGTCCTCGTCCCCCCCGCCCGACACGACGCCCATCCCCACCGCGCCCGCGTGCCCATTTCCGTTCGTTTTGGCGCCGGGCGTCCCGCCTTTGGCTGCAGGCGTACCTAGAAGACGTGGTTAGTGTTGCGCGAATAGTATGTATAAGAGGACGGCAGACGCACCCCCGCCACTCCCCGCCTGCACCCGCCCCCACGCGGCGTGGCCGTTGCGCACGGAGCCCATCCCGCCGTACCCCCACTCGACGAACTCGGGCTCGTCGTCGCGCGCGTTGCCGAATGGGTTGTGTGTGCCTGTGTGCGTAGTCAGTAGGTGCTGCGCGTCAGGTAGTACGGTGCGAGCAAGTGAGGTAACGGATAAGCATGGTCATCGTGTGGGAGGGAAGGAGGGAGCCGCGAAAAAATGAGGACGACGCGAGGAAAAAATGAGGCGCGTCAAGGAGAGGAAATAAGAATGAGCCAAGGACAGATTGAGGCGAGCCAAGGAGAGCCAAGGCCAGAATTAAGAGTTTAGGAAGCGGCGAGTACGTGAGGACGCGATCGCGGTGCCGGCAGGGGGTACGTGAACGAATGAGAATGTGATGCACGAAAGCGAATGGGCGTCGAGGGGATGTCCCAGGACACGGCGCGTTGAGTTGGTGTGGGAGCAGGGGGCCGTGAACGACACGAAACAATAAGAGTCGAGGAGTGATGAAGAAAGCAAGTGAGGAGAGGTGAGGGTGCGTGCATGCGCAAGTGAATGGGCGCAGCCGGTCGGTGTGGGAGCGAGACGAAAGGATGGGAGCGAGACACGAAAGAAAGAATGGAGTCGAAGCAGGACTCGGCGCGCGCCGCGGAACAAAGAAGCCAGGGGAAGGCGAGCCTAGGCGCAGGGAAATGAAAGGAAAAGGATGCAAGGAAAGAAAAGGGGAGGATGGCGCCAGGTCCGAGGGGGACGGTGGGGGTGGGGGACGAGCGAAAGAATGTGGAAGGAAGCGAGCAGCGACGGAGACTCACCATTAGCGTTCCGCGACCCATACACCCGTCCATTCAACATACGCGTCCCGCGCTTCCCACCGAGCGCGGCGCTCGCAAACGGGTTGAGCGCCGGCGGGACGCTCGCGGTCTGCTTCTTCGCGGCCGCCGCCGCGGGCGAGTCCTTCCCCTTGCTCTTGCCCCCACTGCCCAAACCGAGCGAGGGGAGCAGGGCGCGGCGCTTGCTCGTGCTGGTGCTCGCGACGCTCGTCTGGCTCTGCGTGCGCGCGAGCGGGGAGCCCGCGGTGGCGCTGCTGGAGGACCCCCAGCGCGTGAGGGCGGCGCCCCACTTGGGCTCCTCCTGTGCCTGCATGGAGGGGGTGGGGGTGAGGCTGTCGGTGGAGGACATGGGGGAGGAGAAGGCGGTGCCGCGGCGGAAGGGGCGCAGGAAGCTCTTGGGTTTCGGCCAGGTCGACGACTTGGTTGGTGGATGGAAGGACGAGGGCGGAGAGGTGGTCGGTGGGAGGGCGAGGGGCGCGGCGGCTGCCGGGGATGCGTACGGGGATGCTGCGGGGCTCGGCACGGGGGCGGGCTCGGGCGTCGCGGGGGTGAGCTCGGGCGGCTTGACGTCGGTGTCGGCGTCGTCATCAAGCCGCCGTGGGTCGGGCAATGGTGCAAAGCGGATGCGACGTGGTGGTTTGTGCATCGTTGGTGTGTTGGTGTGGCTTGCGCTTGTGTGGGACGAGGTGCTCGACGAGGCGGAGCTCGAGGATGCGCTGGTCGACGCACTGGCCGACGACGAGAGGCTGTTTGTCGACGGCTGCGACGGCAGCAGAATCGAGTGCGGCGGCGGAGACAGCAGCGTCGACATGTTGGTGGTCAAAGCGAAAAGCGGGACACAAGACGTTGTCTGAATCACATATGAGATTTCATCAATGCTGCATCATTTCTGCGGTGTCGGGTGTCTCGCTCCTCTCTCTTGGCAGCCTGCTTATTCCGTCACCGGCTTTCTTGCAAAAAATAAAGGGACCTTATCTCGTTGTACGTATGCTGTACGTTAACACCTTATCCCAAATCCCGTTCCACGCCCGCCTCGTCTCCCCGGGTCCGCCTCCCAGCCTTTCTTTCCCCTAAGTAGTCATACACTCCGGCAACTCTCGCCCTACCCCACACACACCCCATCTGCCTCCGCCATCTGCTTCCGCAGCCCGTTCCTCGCCCTTCCCCTTCCCTTCTCCACTCTTCGACCCATAATCAGATCCCCGCCTAATCAATGCCAATCCGAGTCTCCCTAATTTTATCCTCACCGCGACAAAGGTCCCGTCCGCCGCGCCCTGTTAGCCTTTTCTTCTCCTTTCCTGTACTTCCCAGCGACATGTCTCCCTGAATCCCATGTCTGCCTAAATTCATTTTACCTACACCGGTACGGTTCGCTACGACCCACCGGGTTCTCCGTCTTCCATATGCGGACACGTATGCGTCCCCTGCGAGTTCCTGACACTCGACACCCGGCATCTCCCGCCCGCCATCTACCCTTCCTCACCCCCATCTGAAGTCGAACCCTTCCCTTTCCATCCGCGTTTCGACGCGCGTAGGCGGTAACCACCTCCCACGCCCAGCCAGCAAACGTGCGTACGCGCGTGTTATTCATCCGTTCATGAACGATTATCAATGAGTACCTGTCATTCATTGAATCCCGCCGGACCCGCCCCGTCGGCGCCGAATGACGCGTCCCCTCCGCGCCGACGGGTGTATTTCGCATTACGCCGCCTCGGGTGCGCATCCGTCTCTCTCCCCCCTTCCCCGCGGAGACACCCTCCCCCTCCGCTGCGCTTTGAAAGAGATTTAGTATTACACCCCGGCGCGCCGCCTCGGGTGCGCATCCGCCTCTCATCCCTTCCCTATCCCCCTCCGGAGACACTCGGGCTCGCTCGCAAACGTGCGTGCGCGCGCCACCCTTGCTGGCATCCCGCGCTGTACGTTCCCCATCCCCGGGCGACCCTGACGCTGCCCACCTCGAACCTCGAACCTTGATATCATCCCTTCGCCCCGGCGAGCGCATCTGCTTCTCACCTAAAGCAATTCCCACCCGTGGCTGAAGCAGTTTTACAGCCAGCGAGCGAGCTCGAGAAGGCGGCAACGAGGCACGGACACCCACGCGATGACGCGTCGAAGCGACGGAGATTAGCCCGCGGATCGTCTT